CAATCTCACAACACACATAGTCAGAGGCCCTATCGCTCAATATTAAGAGACGAAATTTTTTGCTTGACTAAGCATACTCGTACAAATAGCTCTGGCAATCATCTTATCAACACAAAAACAATCTATCTAGTGTAAGAAAGTGTAATGTATAAAAAATTACTCGAGGGCTTTTATATCGATGTTATATGGCTATAAAACCATGCCATATTTGATTGTAAATAATTCAACATCTCAGGTATGTACGTACGTGTTGTAGTTCTATTTTAACACAATAAATTATGCAAGATCGGTTTCAAGATTAATACGTATAAAAATAAAACTGTATCGGTATTAGGATTTAGGCTGTGTTTGCATAATAAACATTTGGAATAAAAAAAGGATTATCGCTATATCGTACACGTACGTACATGAAAACAAGATAACAAATAAGCCATAAATATTTAATCATTGTAAGTTTATATAGTACAGCCGTCTCATAAACGAATTCGCTTAACTACTAACCCGAAAATAGAAGCTTCATAATCACGATTTTTTATCGGCCTCATATGTCGAAAAAATAAAGTACTTATTATGTAATACTAATCATATGACTTAACGGTCCCATGGGTGAGCGATAACATAGCGGGCTTTCATAGTGATTGGCCAATTTTTGTAGATCATCTCGTGATAATATAAAAATTTTATTGGTTGATCGAAGATTAATAATATCGAATCACGAATAAAAAAAAAAACTAATATGTAGAAAATAATTATATCAATATATAATCAAGTTAATACTAGCAGAAGTCTTTACCATAAAATCTCGATAATTTAAACCTAAAATTATAATCTTATCACAAACAAAACCGGACAAAATCAGAAAAACTCCAATAAACTAAAATTTTATTAAAAAACTTCAATATATTACAAATCAAAGAAAAGAAACAAAAGATAAAAAATACGAAAAATAAATAATTAAACCTATCCTATAATACTAATAAACAATAAAAAAAAAAATGCCGAAAATAACTTATAATGTTCGCTCTAATATCAAACTAATTAATTCTATTTAACAATTATTACAAGGTTAAAGTATTGCTACAGTTTTTTTTTTTAACTCTTCTCATGAAATCTATTATCCTTATGGCGCTCAGCTTCATGTTATTAGCCTATATTATAGACAGGTTTCTTTATTAGTTAAGATCACAAAAAATAAGTTTTCACAAACAAAAGACGGCTTAAATCGTTGAGTTTGATTAATTTATTATACCTATAGGCTAATTTTAAACGTCCAAACATACCTCTCATCTAACTTCCGAATTACTTCGCGGATTACCAAATTACTTTGACAGTATATAGACCAGAAGGTGCTCTTTCGCTTTCATTTGGTATCGAGTTTGGCCAATTCGTCTCCGTGGCTGCCAAACCATTTTTGTAACTGCAAAACGTTACGCCACTATGTGAAACATATTGTGTAACATTCTGTGTCGATCATTCAATCGTAAAGCCCGCTATGTTGTGAGCGATAAAACCTTGACCGGCTTTAATAATCAATGGCCTGCATTAAATTTTATGCGGTGTTACCTTAATGCATAATTACGTCGATTTTTGATTTATAATCCTTTTCTTATTATATATAACTCCCGATAAGAAAAAGCATGAATGGGGACTTAAAAGGGTTATAAGAGGAATGTGTATAACATTCTTTAACAGTAGTTTTATCAAAATTCATATGTTACAGGGACTTCGAATCTCCGCATTCTCCGAGATCGTCAGATCTAAACCTTCCTTAAGCGATCGTCGATTATAAGAGGTTTAATTTCACCAGAAAATGGCAAAATAGTTTCAATGTTTGGAAGTTATGACTGACCGGAATTGCTTTATAGAGAAAAAACCAGCGTTGGATTTGGGTAATGTAACTATTAATATATTTTTTTTCTTGTCGGTTCTTAGATCTAGATAATGAAAGGTATAAAAATAAGCGGTTTGCCCATAAGGTAAGTTAACAATAACGTTGCTCTTATATTTATTTTTTTGAAAAAAAAACTTAACATACTCGCAATTTAATTTTAAGGTATGTGCATATTGTCTATAATACGTCTTTGTTTTTTTTTCATTTGGGAACGATGATCCACCAACTACGAGTTTTTATATTTAGTAACGCGAAAATAGTTGATGACTTTAATGTCAAGTTTAAACTCAGTAATGATCTAACTACTATTCACATGATAGAAATTAAGTGGGGTGACAAAGTCAAAGATGTTAAAGTCAAAATTAAGAATCAATTTAACATTACTACTAATAATCTTGAACTTTCCCCGGATGATCCTAGAGGTATTATACGTTATATAGAAGCGGAAAATAGGTTTCTTGAAAATTATATTCCTGATAATGTTGATAGGGCATACTTCATTGTATACTTCTCTCCCCCAAATTAATTTTTTTATTTGTATTCGCACTATTAACTGCGATATTTTTTTATTTGTATATTGTTTCAGCAATTTTTTATGAAATAAAAAAGGGGGTCCAGTGGGCTCGCCATTTTTTTATTTTTGTGTGTATCTGACCAAAACTGTAATATATAACTAGCAAAGTTAATTATTTTTCTCCGAAATGAATTTTTATTTATTACATCATTATTAATATGCGCGAATTAAATAACGATGTTCTGATTTTGTATAAGTTTCACCGGTATTTAAATCATAATAATAACCTTCATCATCATCATCAGAAAAACCACAAAACCCTCCATCATCTTCGTTGTTATTAAAGGAACCCTCATCATCGGAGTTGTCATTCTCACTATCATTAGAGGGATCCAAGTTAAAACCCGAATAGTCAGAAATGTTTATCTGCATAACAGTATCTGTATAATTAGATGCAATCTCTTCAGTAGATATACTTACCTCGGTTTCAGTAGATATACTTATCTCAGCCTCTGGTAATTCCGAATCTTGATTATTTTCTTGGGGTAAATCTAAAGGAATCGATTCAGTAGGTATATTTACCTCAGTTTCGAATAAATCATCTGAAGAACTATCTTGATCATCGGTGAATTCTATACCAGGCTTTTTGGTGAAATGTTCTATTATCGTTTGAATCTGAGAATTAGTGAATTTTGAAATAGTATCCGCACTATATGTTTTGATGTATTGAATCTTATCCATTCCTATTTTTTCGAATAAATTGCCAATCCTTAAAGCTTTCTGTGTCTGCTTACATAAAGTTTTGCGTTTAGTGTCAGGTAGCTGTTTGATAATAAAATCATATACTTGACCTTTTGCCTTCTTTTCCCCAACTTTATTGCTGACCATAAAATCTTTATACATGCTTTTGAATCCTCTAGCATAGAAACACCAACGCAATGTTTCTTCTCTATTGGCTTCAATCACCACATTCTCCATTATCTGGCGGTAATTGGGACATGGCTGGAATAGATGGAGTTATTGAAATCTCATTATTTGAGCGAACCAAGTTCGCTGAAATTCCAGTCACATGCTTTTCTTCTTTAGATAAAATCATTTCTCGAATCAAGCCCTGTTCGTTTTTCCGCTCACGGGAAGTAGTGGACGCAGAATTCTGAGAAATCGAGTGTGCCTCCTGGCTAGGTGAATCACACTGAAGTTCTTCTTCCCCATTCCTCTGCCTAATCTCATTACTAACCCTTTTCTTATTCTCTGAATCTAGGAATTTATCGATCTCTATATCATCCAATGATTTAGACTCCGTGCAAATAGGTTGGTATGTATCAGAATTTGTTATGTCGAGTGTGACAGATGCAGGAACATCCTTACTTTGTGAGGCTATCTGTTCGGGAGTAATGCTAGTTATAGAATTATTTGTTTCACAGTATATTGAAGTTTCTTTATCGGAGCGGGATTTGATAGATGGAAAAGTTATTTGTGATTCAGATTGGGTTGGGCTATGTTCTATTTCGGGTATAGGATCGGGATTAATAGCTTCCTCCTCATCGGGTTGGCTCGTAGCCTTTAGCCGGTCACATCGGTATATGATGAAATATTCTTTTTGGGGATATTATCAGAATTTATTTCAGGGAGCATGGGTACTTGTAAATTTATTGGATTCTGCGAATTAATAGTGTCTGTGCCTTGCGAGTTCTGTTCCTTGATTAGTGAAATATCGCATTCCAGTTTCGTAAATCTGATTTCATGTTCTTCCAAAGTTTGTTTTAACTTCGTATTTTCAACTTTAATCTCAATATTCTCAGCCTTGACTTTCACATTCTCAGCTTTAATCTCAATATTCTCAGCCTCGACCTTTGCAAACTTCTTTCTAAGTTCATCAATTTTTAGAACAAGCCTGGAATTTAATTCTCTCAATGATTCGATTGTGGGTTGTGTATTTGCCATTGTTTTTATTTAAAACAAGGATATATTTAATTCATCATGGAGATAAAACGTCACGCACGCGTTCTGTTTCGGAACGCCGAACAAACACTTTTACCAAGAAATACAATAAATAAATTCGCGAAATACACATGCAAAATTAAACTGATTACGTATGCGAAATCAGCCACCATGGTCGGCTTTATTAATATAAAAAAATAAAATATGGAATAATACATATTTAAAAACGTGCTCTTTTTCTTGTTTAGTCATCTAGTATCATGGAAGAAAAAGCTTATTTTGTTAATCTTTCTATATCTTTTATTATGTAAATATTTATAAACCAAAAAATATTTACTCGTAAAGTCAATGACGAAATTTGGAAAAGCTAATAAGTCAAACTTTGACCTTTTAATTGTAAACATATAAATATTAATTTATACTGATGCACAATTTTACACACCCCACTCATAAACAGTATATGGCTAAACTAACAAAATCATGAAACATGATAAATTTTATTAACGATGCTGAAAATAAGCACAAATACTTATTTAGTATAAAATCAAACTACGTAGATCTAAATCATCTAATTTACTTTTTCATATGTACAGATAGATAATTTTCGTTTTTTGTTGGTGTATCTGCAGTTGGACGTAACCATGTTGAATAGTTTGTTTGAAGCGGTGTGGTATTGTATTTCTCACCCAACAAATCTATCGCATTTTCCTAAATTATACTCTACGGTTAGCATATGTTAAACATACAACACATAATTCCAAAAATATCAAAAAACTAACCCGAATACTAATCAATACTTGATGAAGCTTTATAAGTGACTCCAGATCTCTAACAGTTTTTGGTATGGTGCACGATTCCACCTCAACAAGTAAATATATTCCGGGGCAATATAATGTCATAACACAAACTTCCATTTTGTGGCCATTGATAAAAATAACAATTTGGTTCGTTTCATTTGGGCGCATCTCTCGCTTTTTGATGTTAAAATCTATAGAGTCCTTGGCGTGTATGGAACCACGGTAAATATCCCAATAAATTTTATGCTTCTCATCCTGTCGTTTGGGACTTGTTACTTCGCAGAAAACACCTACACAGGTCTCATCCTTATTTTTCAACATATAATCAGGCACTCTACCACGACCTCGGCGTGATTTAGAAGCTTCTGACTCTGTATCGATCCTATAGGAATAAAACAGTCATAAATTAATCCTTTTTTACAAAAATCAATCGTTTTACACAAAATAATCTCATACCATGAGTGAATTGTGACATAGTTAAAGTAATGGATGGTCTTATTAAACAGTGGCCCAATGTAGTCTACAATGAATGTTCCTTCATTCATTTTATTCACATCTACCAAAGGATTCCAAGTGGCACATTCTTCTAATAAACTGAAAAATGTTTCATTCAATAAATTCCCACTATATTTCACAGCAGACAATTTAATGAATCTTGAGATTTCTTCCTGAGAATCCCGTTGAAATTTCTAACGAAAATATAATAAAACAAAATAAGAACGATTCACTTCAACTATTATACAAAAATTAAAATTACAAACCTTTTTATTCTCATTCATGAAATTTATCAATTCCTGCGGAGTTGTAATTTTTACAAATTTGAAAATGATATCTGACCGAATTTTAGAAATTTCATTTTCTGTTAGAAAATCCAGATAGGATTGCTCATTTCGTTGTTGGAAATAAAATATTGATGAAACAGATAACAAATGATAGATATTTTGTTCTTCTGGAATATGAACTCCATGACATATTTGTTCAAGGTTGCTCTGTTGCCATCTCAACAATTTAACTACTAATTCGTCGGTCGTACTTAACATAGATTCCGTAACTATCTCCTTAATTGTCGATATATCAGAAGGTTTGAAAAACAATTCAGTTTCCTCGTCATAATTTTCCTGTAAGAGAAATCAAACAGTTAATATGATAATTAGATTCAAGTATTTATAAGATTCAACGTATATTGCCTAACATTTCTTATACCTCAAATCTTATGTTATCAATCTCTGGTCTATCATCTCTGTACTTGCTTGCATGATGTGGTCGTAATTCAGGCTGTGTTATGCGTATTCTCTAAATATAAAGTTCCAAAGTTGATACACGAACTAGTATGAATACACTAAGAATCAGAATGGCATATTGCGTACTTTTTCAGGCTCATGATCAGATTCTTGTTCGGAATAGTCCGGGATATTTCTCCCATATCTTGTTTGACGTCGATTTTGCTTTTGAGTGGGCTCCAATATGTCCTCCCTCTCAGATTCCAATTCGTTTTTTAAAATCTGGTACCGTCTTTTTCCAATAAGAGCAGAGTGATTTGTCTCTTCTTCGGATTTATTGACAACATACTTGAGCTATAGAAAGATGTCAATTTATATAATTTATATAGTAAATATGCACAACATTACGTGAACTCACATCCGAAACTGCCATCTGCAATTTAGTTTCCTTCGATATTGTTTTTAGACGATTATCAAAATACATGCTTCTACGTTCTTCCCAAAATTTCTCAACGCTGTATGATATTTTATCCCTCTTAAAAGATTAACTCAATGCAGTTAGTATTGAATCATGCAAAATTTGATCATGCTTTCGTGCAATTCCCATTAACATCCTTAGAGTTGTTACTCAAATAAAATTTCTTGTTCGTTCATCAGAATGCTTGGGCGCCATTGACAAACTAAACAAGCAACAGGGACTTATGCATTGATCTGGCTCAGGGACCAACCAATGTGTTTAGCAATAGACGGTGGCATCCTGCCAAGGGCTTACAAAAGCTCATGGCTTGTCAGTGGCTATTGTTACCGAACCGAACAAGCAACAGGGACTTATGCATTGATCTGGCTCAGGGACCAACCAATGTGTTCGGCAATAGACAGTGGCATCCTACCAAGACCCAATAATGGAATAGAGGATCAAGGCTCGGTATACAAATTCCAAACATTCTGATAAGTATTTACATTCGTTATATTACTTAAGAAAAAGTGCTGAGTTGTTGTATGATGGCTTAATTGAAAAAAAACTAATAAAATAATAAAACAATTTAAGTATTTCACCTCGAAATTGGATAATAATTCTTGAGCCTTTGTCATCTTAGAATCTCCATATGAGCTGGTATTACTAATCTTTTTGAGAAGTGTCTTCCAGGCGCTATGTTCGAATTCCTTGTCTGAAAAATCAGAAAACCTTGATCTCCATTCTAGGAAATTAACAAGCGACCAATCCGACAGTTCAACTTCCTCAAAGTAGTTTATTCTTGGAATTGTCTAATATACAGAACAGGGTTATAATGGGTTATAATATCGTATAACAGTTAAAGCGTAAAACGCGACTCACGGAGTCCATGTGCACTGTTGCTTTCGTGAAATAATAATACATGCTAAAAAATTTTTTTGTATAAATCAGTTGTCGCACAGATTGATCTGATAACAGATGACCTGTTTTATGCTTATAATGAATTTCTAATTTAGTACAAAATTTTTCTCGTCGATCTTGTTACCGTTATGCAGTATGTAATTCATTTACTGATACTAAAATTTGATCTTCCTGATGAGGCAAATAAATTCTTGGTGAACGAACGCATTTAAAAATCAAATCACAGAAAATATAACTTTATTAATTTCATAGATATATATGAAAATGGGTTAGGACGAGCTAAGTAAAAAACTTGAGAGTAGCGGACATTTAAAGGGAGGAATTTGCTGGCCCCTAGACCATAATGTAGCAGTTCCTTCCCACTACTCCGTATTATTAGCTAAGTTAAAATTATTTTTGCTATCGATCCAAGCACCTATTTTATTTAAAGTACTACCTC